CAAAAAGCATGCATGCAGTGATCTGTAACTTTAACATTCTTGACACAGTTTCTTGTTTTTCCTGGCCTTTGTAATCATTTACTCTGACCTTATACTGACCCCCCATTATATCGCCTGCATTTCTTTATTGACCCCCTATGTCCCCAACACTTTAACTCCCCACCTGTTTGAAATGTGTTAATTGCCTGATAATGATATAAACGTGTCTCCTTCTCAGAGTCGTGCAGAGAGGTGGTTCAGCTGTAGCCTCCCCCTCTTCCCTCTCCTCCCCCCTCTCTTCCTCCCCCTCCGCAGGCCTCGGATGGCAGCAGCCTGTGTTCAGCTGTTGTTGGCTGCCTCCCTGTGGCTGCCTCCTCTCTCAGAGGCTGCTGCTGTCGCTCCTCTCAACGTGAGCAGAGCTGCAGCTGAGACCCCGTCTGACCTCTGGATGCTCAGTGCAGCTGAGACCCCGTCAGACCTCTGGATGCTCAGTGCAGCTGAGACCCCGTCTGACCTCTGGATGCTCAGTGCAGCTGAGACCCCGTCAGACCTCTGGATGCTCAGTGCAGCTGAGACCCCGTCTGACCTCTGGATGCTCAGTGCAGCTGAGAGCAGACGCAGAAGAGAGGTTTCCTCCAGAGAGATCAACGCTCTGCTAGATTACCACAACCGAGTCCGCTCACAGGTGTTCCCCCCCGCAGCTAATATGGAGTTCATGGTGAGGGAACGCTGTGGAGAGGGACCAGTGCTGCAATGTAACTAAATACATTTACTCAAGTACTATAAGTACAGTTTGGAGGCACTTGAGTATTTCCAGTACATGCTACTTTATCATTCTAAATTTGGAACCAAGTTTAGGCCAAACTCAACTCGGGATACCACATTAATATTCTGTCCCTTAAACAGCAAAGAAAACACATCTGCCTTTTCATCTTGATATTTCAGATTCTGTCCTAAAATTTAGAACAGAACATTGACATATTATTGTTGATTGGGAAATCAAAGCCTCAAGCTTTATAACAAAGCTCTATTTCGGGACCCAAATTCCAAAGAAGTCCATTTGGATTTATGATATTGGAGTTTTGAAACACCTTTGGGTCCAAATGATTTTTAATGTTAATGATACACCATATCTCATATAACAACATACTATATTTATACCTTTTTATTTTGTAACCTTCAAATGTGAAAGCTTTGTTTGTGAGATGGGAAGGTTGTAATGAATGAAAGTGTTCAAGTCAATTGGACCCCGAACCAGAATGAAATGCAACCCATCTCAAGTGGAAAAATTAAACCACACCTGAGCCCAAAACTCTTGAAATGTATTCTGCATCTTAACTAACTTATAAAGCATGTAACACAAAACTATCCTTATTGGCTTATTTTATGGTACAAAACAGTTCAAATACAGAGGCACCAGATGTAGGTTTCAGTCTTATTAAAACTCTATAGAACAGAGTTAATTATGTTGTTTTCTTACAGTAGAGAGTGAAATGAATGACCCCTTTATCTCTCATTTCCTCTCTATTCATGTCTCTACAGCTCTGGGATGAGGGACTCGCTAAGTCCGCTGACTCCTGGGCCTCACAATGCGTTTGGGATCACGGTCCGACACAAGCCATGAGATACATGGGCCAAAACCTGTCCATCACTACAGGAAGGTATGAAGAATCAGCTCTTGATTTCATGCACTAATACGGTCTTAAAATACTATGACTACAGGATTAAAATATCCAAAAATGCATGGAGCTATATGTGAATGACTGAATGTGTGTTGTTTTTAGATACCAGTCCATCACTGATCTGGTCCGGTCCTGGTACGAGGAGAGGCATCACTTCTCCTACCCGAACAGATGCAGTGGAGCAGTTTGCTCTCACTACACCCAGGTAGATGTCTCTTTTGCACAGAGGAAAAGTTGTAAATGGATTGTATTCATCCAAAGAGGACTCCATGTTCCCAATGAAACATGTCTAAAGTCATGGTTTTGCTTCTCTGGGATACTGTAACCATGCAACTGCATATTCATTACATAAACCTTCTTTCCTACATTTATATTACTATTACTTATATTACCATTTTATAATTACAAGTTATACAATGAATAAAGCAGCCAACAAGCTGCACCCTCAGCCTAGTTAATAATCCAGTCATTTAATGTTTTCAGAAATATTATATTTGGAGATATTTGTGGGGCGGGGGGGATTGTAGAAAATAGTCATTATCCTGGAAAGGGCCATATTTGTTATAGTTAAAGGGGACCTATCATGCAAAATGCACTTTCTGATGTCTTTATACATAACTATATGTCCCCGGTGTGTCAGGGAACTCACGCAGTGTCAGAAAATAAAACCCTCTCTCTTTTCCTCCGTACCCAAATCTCTAAAAACGGGGCGACAACGGAGCTGATCCAGATTTACGTCCGATATGACCTAATATCTGAAATGTGGACCCACGGCCCTATCAGAAAGTTGCTATCAGAAACAATGCCCGACTGTTTTGGACGTAATATGGTCTGTGTTTACATTAGCATCGCTAACACTCGGAGCTAACCTGTACTGGAGAGCATGTGTGTGAAGAAGCAGGAAGTAAAAAGGAACTCACCTTGTGGTATAACCGGCAAGAGAGAAAGCCTTTGAGCTCCAGACTGTTTCAGATCCTTGATAATCCATGATATGGCGTTTCATCAGGGCAGTATTTAGTTTAGACAGTAGCTGCCGGGTCCTGCATGAGCTCAGCCCCCTACTTTAATCCATTTTTATTTTCTGTTTTAAAGCTTTATCCCCAAATCAGCACTTTAGAAACCGGAAGTGAAATAGAGGGATATGAGGCATGGCTAGAATGGGTGATCTGTTTGGTCTTCATAGACATGTTTTTAATATATTTGTATATATCTGAGACCTATTGTCTAAAAATAGCATGATAGGTCCACTTTAAGATTTCAGATTCAGCTCCCTTAACCCCATCCTAATAATTGACAGTCCCTTACTAAAGATGATATATGAAACATATCAACCCAGATTACTTTTTAAATGCGGAGAAGTGCATGGTTTCCTTTTATGGATAAACTATAAGCATCAAAAAGTGTTTTTCTTTTCTCTCAGATGGTTTGGGCGAGCACCAAGAAAGTGGGATGTGCCGTCAGGAATTGCTCCAACATGAAGGTGTTTGGAAGCACGTGGAAGGAGGCGACGCTGCTGGTCTGCAACTACTCTGTGAAGTAAGTCAAGTTTAATAAATACAATTTTAACAGCACAAAACCGGTCTACACAATTCCTTATTTTTGAATTTATCATTGGCTTTTCAAGGAGAGAAAACAACTCATTCCACACTGTTGCGCTGGAAATAATTAAGGCTTAGAGTACTTACTGTAAGAGATAAAGTAAAGTAGTGACTCACTTACAGATACTTTATTGGTTTTATTGACAACAAGAATATACAATAGTTACAGTATCGTTCATTAATAGGTATTTGTATGAAACCAACATGTTGAGGGGAAACCCACACATTAAAAATGTCTTATAGCTAAAATGGGGACATTGCAGAAGCTATGGAAGGTTAAAGTGAAAAGACTACTGTGAGGAAATGTTGAGGTTAATCTACTTGGAGAACTGTAAACTTGACTCTGCTCTGTTTGTGGATGTGCTTTTATTGTATTTTTGTTGAATTTGCAAATGTCATTATATTCTTGGTCTGTACTTTAAACTGATTTCTAGTATCTATATATTTGTTAGCATTATTTTGTAATCTGCTATGTCTAATGTTGGGGAATGTTCGGTTGTGTTTGTGCGATGTGATATATCAAAAAAATAAATAAATACATGTTTAAAAAAATAAATAAAAATTACCTTATAACTAATATTATGTTCATTTGTTTTTTTCAGGGGCAACTGGGTGGGGGAGGTCCCCTATAAGAGGGGCAAGCCTTGCTCTGTCTGTCCGTCCAGCTACGGCGGATCCTGCTGGAGGAACCAGTGCTCCCCAAAAACAACACCCAGATGACTTACAAGACTTTAACACACTGTGTTTAAATGGAAGAAAACAAAGTCATAATCCATGTTAAATCAAGTTTGACGATGTCTGCATAAAATGATGCAGCTCTTACCACTACGTTCAAAGTAAATCTATATTAATGATATTTTAAAATACATTTTTATATTTTCAGCGCTGTTGATCACTAACAAAATAACCTTTCATAAGTTTCCCATTTTTATATTTTTTATAGACATCCACAGCGATTGTTTGCACTGTTTTTGATGAATTTGGGTGACGTTTTATATGCATTACCCCCCCCCCCAAAAAAAAATAAGCACTTTTGTTGTATATATTATATTTACTATGATCTTCTAACCTGATGGTATATATTTTTTTTGTTTAGTGTGAAAATCTGTCCAGTCATTCCTGCAGTGAATGTGTTTAATTCACAGTTTGCCTGATGGCTGAATAGTAATTAAGTTATAAATAAATTATGACGCTGTGCTGTGTATATATAAATAAATAAATGCTCCTGCAGGAAATGTTCTGTCCTGCATTTCACCTCATTACATCTCTCTCCATTCAACCCTCGGAGACTTCCTGAGCCATAAAAGAGACTCATGCAACTTTTATGGTCTAAAATATGAGGGATCAGCTGTGCTTCCAACCACACACACACACACACACACACACACACACACACACACACACACACACACACACACACACACACACACACACACACACACACACACACACACACACACACACACACACACACACACACACACACACACACACACACACACACACACACACACACACACACAGCAAACACAGTTCCTCACAAACAAAAGTGTAATGACTTTGAGGATTTAATAACCATTTATCTGGCAGGTCTTTGTTCTAAAATGGAGAGTGGCTGCTGACTCTTCATTTCTGTAATATTATAGTTGTTAACTGCAACTGTTTAAAAAAAAAAAAAACTGTATGACTTTCAATCTTCAGGATGTCATCACCAGTAAATTGAGTCCACAGAAAGTAAAATAAATAGTTTTTGAAATAGTTTAATACAATTATTTGCTGTCTTGTCTTAAGATGACAAGATGATGCTACAGGAGACAGTTAGCTTAGCTTAGCATGAAGACTGGAAACCCAGGGAAACTGATAGTCTGTCTCTGTCACTTTTGTGCTTTGTTTTCTCTTGAGGATGGCATCACCAGTTAATGACTCCACAGACAATTAAAGAAATAGTTTAAAAAGAAAATAGTTTGATAACTAATAATAATTCACATTTTTGTCTACTAGCCCTATAAAGCCACAACTTTTATCTATGGTTTTTGTTACATAGTAATAAGTAAGTTTCAGAGGTTTTTATTTGAACTAGCCTATAGCTGTTTTTCCAGGTAGCCTTTAAAGTATTTACCATAAGCTAAGCTAACTGGTTGCAGGCTGTAGTGACATTGATCCTCTTACTTAACAACAGTAGCCTACTAGCAAGAGAACAAAAAGTGCATGTTTTCACAAAATGTGCTCAAGCAACTATAAATCACATAAAAACACCAGTATTGTTAAAGTAGGTGATAAATCCAGAATCTGACGTATCGATTGGATGTAAATCATGTTCATCATCATTATTTCAACCCAGTCTCACGGCATTTCGTGTTATAGTCACAAAATTAATCTATTGATTCGTGTTCACCAACATGATTTCTCCATTTTTTTCCTGTCACACAGAACGTTTTTAAAAGCAATGTAAATAATAACAATTAGAAGGAAAGAAGATTGAAAAAAATGCAGATTTCAGTATTCTGAGGCTCTGAGCCCCATTTCTTTTCCTCGCGGACAGCAAAAAAAGTCCGACATTATACAATTTAAAATAAAAACAATAATTGTGGCTTGATATTGAGTAAGAACATATTTTTATGAACCTCACAGCTTCCGGTCTTCCAAGACCCGACCGGACAAAAAGACGTGTTGCAGGCACGAAACATACTACCAATAGAAATACATTGCTTTTAAAGTCGTTCTGTGTGACACGAAAACAATGGGAAAATCATGTTGGTGAACACGAATCAATAGATTACATTTATTTTGTGACTATTACACGAAATGCCGTGAGACTGGGTTGACTATATATGAAAATGACCTAAGAAAACGAGTCAATCTTCCTGTGAAATTGGTCAAATGTATCAGATGGAGCTGCATGATGCCACATTGGATTGTATGCAGTTAAGCATGTGGGAAATCTCCATTTAGGACAGGAAGTAATGCACATAGTATTTTTTAATTAGATTTCAGTGGGTTTCCTGACATCCATTTCCATTTAGGCCCAATTTCATATTTTTCCTTCAGTAAAAACAAAACTGGTGAGGTTACTCATCACAGTTTGCTCGCTGCCACCCTCAGTACATGCTCCACTCCTCTCAGTCTTTTATTTGACTCCCCACCCTCCAGCTTTCCCTCTCCTTTCTGTATAAACTCAGTTTCTTACTCAGCGCTCTTAGTCACTAATCTGTATTTGGAGAAACTGCTATTTGGTGCAGAGAAAGAGGGAAAAGCACATAATAACTTAATGTCTATTTGAGTTTCTATCATCATGTTGCCTTAGTTACAGCTGCTATATAGATTGGTGTCCATACGAGCTAGTTACTGTTTAACCTCCCCACCCACATTTGCCCAGATTAGGAAAACCAATAAGATAACAGCGGCAACACCGGCCTTACCTTGCACCAACAACACCCTTCTCACACTACAGCAACCTGCGCCAAACTTCCACATTTTACACCTTATGGTGAGGGAGGGAAACGTGGATTTAAAACACATGTTTGAGAGGAAGCAGAGGACGACATGGTCAATGTAAACACACAAGTCGCTTCAAGTATGGAACCTCCATTTGGTGAGTACACACTTTTTGTAGAAAATAGGTGTAGTGTGGGACAGCTGCTTGGTTTTTTCTTTCTTTTTCGCCGGCTTGTGCAGCATCTGTTTGGCTCCGGAGCTCTGCTGGATCACAACAGAATCAGAAGAGGGGAAATAATTATCATCGCCATTTGTGTCTGCCTTTTTCACACGGCTGTAATCCAGGAGGTGTGTCAGAGATATGGAGGTTGTTAAAAGAGGCCATGGGAGCCGAGCCTGATGGTGATGATGAAGGCTTTGAGCTGTCGGAGCAGTGAGGGAGTTTACAGGTTGATTTTAAAGTATTTGAGCTTGATGTTGTTGAATACAAGAGGGAGTTTTGAGAAGCTGCATATTGGAAAAGGCAGATGTACTTTTTCTCCTAGCTAAAATATTCTCTCACTGAAAAGCCTGAAATATGAAACTTTGATAACGCTAGCTTGGTTGGGCTCCAGGATACAATCCCCATCATGTGCACAGTACTGCCTCTCCCACCAGCTTTCTAATACAGCAGTTGATGGAGGTTTTGTTTTTACTCCTGTGGTCATTCATTGAATGATTTGCATGTCACAGTGGGACCAGAAGATGCAAATATTACAAAGCTCGGGCAAAATGAGAAGTATAATCATACATACATAATAACGCATCGGTGAAATGGGTTACAATCAACATAAGAATATCAAGACATGACCCACCACACTAAGATCTGATGATTTACGAAACATTGCCCACTAATAACATTTAACAGTTATGAAACACATAAAGAGGCCAACAGATTAGTATACATAATGTTCAGAGGACATCAGAATCAGAAACACTTTAATCATCCCAGGGTGAAATTGGTTTTCGGGGCAGTTGTTCCATTTTTAAATTAATAAAATAAAATAAATGATACAAACATAACAGAACATTTGTAATACAAGATAAAATAAGATGTATAAACATAAACAATTTAGGTAATATAGCCAATAAAGGTCAAATAAAATAAAAGTAATAAAATGTATATCAGTATGTAGTGTCTCTACTGGGACATGTCTCCACTTATTTTCACCCTCTGTCTGAAACCAGAGCCCAGTCTGCTCTGATTGGTTAGCTCTGTTGTGATTGGTCAACTACTTAAAGATGTCCCGCCCCTTAGCCAATCATGTACAATGTGTTGGAGCGCTAGCAAAACAAAGTGTTACATAATGATGTCACTGTATTCCAGAAGTAAACAAAATAGTCCAATGGAGGCGTTTCAGGCACCTAACCCTAATTACTAACATTGATGTGTGTTGTCTTAATCAGCTTTATCCTTTAGATTTGATGCAATAGAACGCAATCAGCTGACAATGTATGTGTATTGTATGTGTATTGTATGCTCTGAGCCCCATTTCTTTTCATCACGGACGGCAAAAAAAGTCCGACATTATACGATTTAAAATCAAATCAATAATCGTGGCTTGATATTGAGTAATAACATGTTTTTATGGACCACACAGCTTCCGGTCTTCTCAGACCCGACCGTATCCATTTGCGTCTCATATGCACGCAAAACTCGGACTCAGAACTCAATGGGAATAGTTGGCGTATGATAGGCACGCAAAATCGGACTTTAACGTATCTATTGCACGCATTTTCCAATGTGTAAAGTCGTGTCATTTGTACGCAGACTGAAGAGAGTGGGTTGGTTTTTATCACACTGTGGGATCCTGTTTTTTAAAATAATGATTATAGCATTGGTCACCTCTTTGCCTTCTTCATCCCTGAGCAGAGCATTGTCTCACCTGCTTTGCATTGATTTTGAGTACAGTCGCAACTTTGTTTTTTATCCATATTCTCAACAAATCTTCCAAAACCAGGACGTTAATGTTACAAATGCATTCTTTGGCAGCTGCCTACACTAAGCCTCTTTTTGGCCTGGATTGGTTTATAAAGTGCTTCTTTGTCCAAACAAACTGCAAGTCACTGTTCAGTTTGCTGCAAAACGGTGCTGACATTAAGACTCTAGCAGGCGATACATATTCAGCCCTTCTTCAGATTATAGGTGCCACTTTCAATATGATAACGAAGGCCAGGAGTTATTTCCTGTACCAAAACAGTCTCTTTTTAAATAATGTGCAGAGAAAAGCTTTTGAACGTTCCTA